TTTAGCTCTCCGAATCCATCTGGTCGATAGCATCTTTGGACGCCCAGGTCGCTCAACAAGAGTAAGTCGTTACGCCATTTCTCCCATCGTAGTCGAATTTGCTCGGGAATTGGGTCATCCCAGTCGATTCCGTCGCGACATAACTCCTGTAGAAATTGCTTTCCTTGAAGTATAAGAGGGGCTACGAATCCTATCGGGTCGAAGATGGAACTTACAGTGGAGAGGATTCCGCGGCGGGTAGGAGGTTTGTTCTGCAGGCTCACTCTTAGCTGAAAGGAGTCGGACTCGATGCACCATTCTACGCCAAGTGCTCGTTCTATTGGCAGGTCGTCCTTGCGAAGGTCGAGATTCTTTATACCGGAGGCTCTATCGTTGGGCGGGATCTTCTCTATCACCGGCTTCGAGTTTGAAACGAACTTGTGGAGACGTAATCCACCACGGGCGCATAGGTCTTTGGTTTTCTTAATCAGCGAAACGGCTTCCGAGACTGAGTCGACTGACTTCAAGCCGTCATCAACATAGAAATCGTCTCGAACAAAGTTCGCTGCTTCTGTGCCGAATTCTTCTTCGTAGTCGTTGGCTATCTGCTTTAAGCCGTAGTTCGCACATCCTGGAGATGATCCGGCTCCAAATAGGTGGACCGTCATTCTAAATTCTACCGGGGGGTTGGTTGTATCTCCGTTTTCCCACCAAAGGAATCGCAGGAAGTCTTGGTGGGCCGCGATGACGTTGAACTGGTGAAACATTGATTCCACATCACACATAAACGCAATTGGACTTTGGCGAAATCTACACAGCACGCCGATCAGTTGGTTGGTGAGGTCAGGACCCTGTAGTAGGTGATCGTTTAGTGACTCGCCCTTATACTTGGCACTACAATCGAATACTACGCGCATCTTTGTGGGTTTCTTCGGGTGATACACCCCATGATGCGGAATGTACCATGTGCGTCCATCGTCCCTTGGAAGCTCCTTTTCAGGAACTCTTTCCGCGTATTTTTTCGATACTAAATCATTCATGAAGGCAACGTAGTCCTTACGATACTGTTCGTTATTCTCGAGCCGGGTTTTGAGTTTGGCTAGTCGATGTAATGCAAGAGACTTGTTGTTAGGCATACTCGGTTCTTCTTCGCGGAACGGTAAAGGCATTTCGTAGTGTCCGTCTTGTCTCTGACGAATTCCTTGCTCTACCTTGCGTATGAACTTCCTATCGTCTTGCGATATCGGCTGTTCGTTAGTTTTTCCTTCCGAGAAGTCGGATTCCAGGATCTGTCTCACCTGGACTGGATTTAGTATTTCCTTCGTAGTGGTCTTAACTGAGAAGAAGCACGTCTTCCGATGGAGTGGATTTGTGTCATTTGTACAGCACGATATAACTCTACATGCGTGCGTGGTGTGCATCTCTTCATGGTCCTTGTCTCGCTCGAGGTTGGATCTTGAAACGTTCCCGACAATGCCCCATCCTAGATCTGTCTTCTGCGCTAACAGCAAGTCCTACTAATATGCCCTTATACGGTTCGCAGTTACAATAATTTTAAAGTCAATTTTACACCAGCAATCAATGATAAGAAACGTTGTATTTTATGTATTCTAGCGAGCACAGTCATACGCGCCTATGCATATGGTCAATTTTGGGAGCAATTTCTGACATTAATTTACAATTCATGCCTGTAAAAATTGGGAATAGTCTTTATTTTTTATTTTTCTTTGTTATGAAAGCATAAATAAGAGCTCTTTGTAATATAAGAGTTCAGAAAATTGACATTTTCGAGTTGTTTATTTTCAAGTTGACATTTTGTGTTTAATCCACGCATGATCCACGCGGACTCGTATCCGTGCCGATTAGTCTTTAACACGCACTTTGTGCGTATAATGTTTAATCGGCGCGGTTTTTGACCAATCAGAATCGAGTAAATTGACTAAAATGATATAATCAGACAACCACATATTACAGCATGATCCCCAGTTATGGAGGTGAACCCATCATTTGTGTATTTACATCAAGTTTTGTTGGTATAGTCTTGGGGATTGGTGACAAAGACATTCGCTTACACGAATCATACAGTTCTACCTGAAGCCTTAGAAAGATGGTCGTGTGAAATGTTGGATAAAATATTACCTCGACATTTAGTTATTATATATGAAATCAACTCAAGACATTTGAAGGTAAGAACAAGAGCAGTAACGATTGGGGGGGGGGGGGGGAGCGGTTCCTGGAGATTGTATATATTTCGAGGTGCGTGCACCCCTCTATCACCATTACGGACTGATGCTGACCTTACTAGGAGAAGGTTGCTCTGGGAATGCGCAACTACACCTGTACCTTCTAAAGCCTGTTTCACATACATGTATATGCCTGCGACGTTCCGGCGACGATGCCGATGGTAGCTTTAAAACGTAAATTATGTGAACATTTGTTTGCCGATTGCCTCCAGTGCCACAGTTACATCGGCGGTAGGCCGGGAAATTGACTTGAGCTCGACTTTGCCGGTATTTTGGCGGCAAGTAGAGGCATAATGATACAGTCGCAGGCATACCGCAGTCATATGTGAACCAGGCTTCAGTGAATCCAATCCTTGAGTAAGTCCATTTAGTCATGTAATGCAGTTTAGTGGGAATAACCTACGATCCGGCCTTTATCTTTTAGGCAAATAAAAATGAAGCCCTGATGTAAATGCATACTTAGTATAAGACATCAGTTTATCACCTTTTTTTATTTACCTCTCCATATAGGTGAGGAAATTAACTGTTCCAAAATGGGACCAGGAGAAAATCCCGTTATTGGAGATTATCTCTGGGGTCAGTCCCTGCCTCAACTGTACACCTATATGTAATATTATGTGATTGGGCAATGGGGGCATGTCACCCCACTTTTTTTAAAAGTAAAAATTTACCGTTTTTTCTGGGCTAAAGTGCCCCATTTAAAGAACGAAAAAAGTATTTCTTGAATGAACGTCTTCTTTTGCTGGAAAGAAAGTGCCCTTTTTGTTGTAGTAAAGACTCTGTAAAGGCCTTTTCCGACGTTATAGAGACTCCATATTTTAAAAAATTTTCGTTCGGCTCGTGAACGACATAAAATCGTTTGATATTGGTCATATATAAAGGTGCCCTTTTGGCCAATGCCCCTCCACTTTGGCAAATTTTGTGAAATAAATTAAAATAATAATATTTAGTGCAGTCCTGGTTGAAAATAATTGGAATGCTAAAGTACAATAAGTTATAAAATGATGCTGCAAGAAGCATAATTAATCGACTTAACGTTGTTTCTCTCAGTGATAAACGTTTACCAGAAATCCCCGATACCATCGGTAAGATATCAGGGCTGCACACGTTGATGTACATTCATTTTATAGGAAATAGAAGAGCTGTATCCAGGGGACATTGATAGAATCAGAAGGATGTCGCTGGTTGAAGAGGGACATCATAAACATGTCAACATGGCCCATCTATGTATTGTCGCATGTCATGCTGTGAATGGTGTTGCTGCCATACACTCTGAGATCATCAAGAAAAGCATGTGAGTGGGAAATTATGAACCGCACTGAATAACACCGTAGCTAAAATCCCATGTTAAACTAAACTGTTTTATTATTGAAGAGGTCCAACCAGGTTTGGGTGGATTGATTAACCTCCGGTGTAAGTCGTCTAACCAACAGTAGAGAGTTTGAGCAAAGACAACGAAGTACGAAGACGTACTTGACAATTTTTGCCCGTCTGTACATTATCTTGCGCATACTGATTTGGACGTCACTGGTGGTTGCTCACCATGTCTTCCCATGTGTCGCTGTTTATGAATACTGACCCTAATTCTTGCCCTGACCCAGAAATAGACAGCGAGACATGAAACTACATCCCGTCTTTGTTCTTCTGCCTTCGTGTAGTACGAAGTTCACGATAAATTTTGCGAAAATATTCGTTCCGAACGAAGGCAGAAGAACGAAGACAGGATATGGATTCATGTCTCGCTGTTTTGTCCTGATCAGGGTAAGGATTTGGGTCAGCATTCTGAAACAGCTAGACATGAATCTCTAATCTGTCTTCACCCCTGACCCTAAACTCAGAATATACGCAAGATAATGTGCAAGACAGGCAAACATTATCAACTACGTCGTATATAGTCGTCCTGCTTCGTTCTCTTGCTCTTGTTATTCGGTATGGTCCAAAACAGATTCACCGCCGCATAAATGTTAAATTGTTTATTATTAGCATGACAAAATTACTGGATGCTGATTGGTTGAGAGGAGTACAATTATTTCATTAATTGTACTGCAGTGCAATTGTACTGCAGTCCAATTGTACTGCAGTCCAATTAATGATTTTCTCAAAACAAACAAAATAGCGGAAAGGTATTTTAAACACAAATGTGAAATGAAATTGCCGTAGAGGAACTAGATGAAAATACGAACAAAAGCTCCAAATTTTACTTTAACCAAAGAACTAAATGAAAATACGAACAAAAGCACCAAATTTTGGTTGAAAGTCTGGCAGGACTGCGCTTTGGCGAGAGAATATGATGTTGACATTGAGAAGTATATTTCAGTTTTGTCATCTTTCAGTTTTGGCAAAATTTCCAAACATCACTCATACTATTAATATCTAATTGTACTCGCCATCGCATGATTATCTATACAAATACAGTGTATATCCCAAATTTGGATACCCAAGTTCCTGATCCTGGCCTAGATCCTGAACACATAGCTGCAGAATGCAGGAATCGCGGCCCGGTGAGAGAAAGTGCCTATCAGAACTCTAACTGTTAGAGCTAGGTATATCCAATGTGTATATAAATGAATAAAAATAATTTTGAACGGTCTCTGCCAGTGTATTGTAGCCTAGTGGCAATAAGAAGAAAGCTTCGGGATACAACTACCTGAAAATTTAGGAGAACTTCGAGCGACGGCCCTTCGTTGGAAAGTTAGCGGGCCCTTCATCGGCCACTATATAACTTTTCGACAACGTCGAAGTCCTTCTTGTATTTTTCAGGTAGTTGTATCCCTAGGGATCAAACCGTAGCTTCCTGAATGGACCAATCCCCAATTAACCAAAATTTTGAACTCAACAAGTCTAGACAAAAATTTCATCACAGCTTGAAAGAGCATCACAAAATTAGTAATATTCCAAAGTTTCGTTGCGAAATGTTGTAAAATGCGGATAATATAGCCTTGCGAAGTTTGCAATTTTCAGTCATTTTAGATTACGCACCGAAGTGGTAACCATTTCCCGTTTGTAAAACAAAATGACTGAAAATTACAAACTTCGCAAGGCTATATTATCCGCATTTTACAACATTTCGCAACGAGACTTTGGAATATTACTAATTTTGTGATGTTCTTTCATGCTATGATGGAATTTTGTCTAGACTTGTTGAGATCAAAATTTTGGTTAATTTGGGAGTGTGACGTACTGTATTTTGAGCAATTGAAATAAGTCGCACGTCATGATCTAACAAATTGCTTGCAAATTGTAAGAAATTCCATGTTTTAGACAAAAAATAAATATGTTGTTGACGTTGTTCAATGTTATTAATCGTCTTCTTTCACTACATAACTTCTAGCGCGTTCGTAATTTCGTTTAAACAATATTTAAACATATCTAACTTTTGTTTAGGGCTGAAACACGTATTTCAATTGCTCAAAATACGTCACACTTCATTAAATCCCGGGTAAGCGGGACCATATAAACAGGCCCTAAAAGTTAGTGTTATCGTCGCTTTATTGTTGTCAGAAAACCAACAACATTTTTTTTATCAGTTTTAAGGACTTCTATGAAGTATGGCCGGAGAAATTTCAAAACAAAACTAATGGTGTGACGCCTAGAAGATGGTTGTTAGTTTGTAATCCTATATTGTCTGATCTTATCTGTGAAGTGAGTATATTTGTTGTCAAGTCGGATATAAAGCAAGGTATTTTTTATGTATCATCATGTACACGACAAGTAGTTTCCAATGGGCTGTAACGATAAGTAGTTTCCAAGTAATGACAAGTAATGACAAGTAGTTTTTTTAAATGACAAGTGGTTTCCAATGTTCCATTTATTATCCGTATCTCCTATCAAGGAAGTTGGAATACTTCAGGGGTAGGGTGATTTTGAGCTGTGGAATTCGTCATGTGCGCGCATATTTTACTATGCATGGAATTCGTCAAGGGTTTCGTATTTTAAATAGGATTTCTTTAGGCTTTAACAAAATTTGATGTTTATATTTGTTACAGAAAATAGGCGAAGATTGGATAGTTGATCTCTCACGTTTGAGAGATTTAGAACGTTTTGCAAGCGACGTCCGTTTTACGCAGGAATTTATCAAAGCAAAACAAGTAAGTGATAAATAGCATGGCTGACTCGTTTCTTACACATTTATAGATAATAATATGGTTTCGAATGCAATTTGGAAAAGCATGCACGAGTGAGTTTTTCAAAGGGGATTCAAATTGCACTCGTTCTTCGGACTCGTGCAATTTTGATCCCCTTTGAAAAACTCACGAGTGTATGTTTTTCTAGATTGCACGAGAAACCATACTGGCTGGCTCGTTTCTTACACGTATATAGGTAATAGTATGGTTTCGAGTGCGATTTGGGAAAAAACATGCACGAGTGAGTTTTTCAAAGACTATCAAAATAGCACGAGTCCGAAGAACGAGTGCAATTTGAGGTCTTTGAAAAACTCACGAGTATATGTTTTTCTAAATTGCACGAGAAACCATAGTGGCTGGCTCGTTTCTTATACGTATATATAGGTAATAGTATGGTTTCGAGTGCGATTTGGGAAAAACTTCCCCAACTGAGTTTTTCAAAGGGGATTCAAATTGCACTCCTTTTTCGGACTCGTGCAATTTTGATCCCCTTTGAAAAACTCACGAGTGTATGTTTTTCTAAATTGCACGAGAAACCATACTGTCTGGCTCGTGTCTTACACGTATATAGGTAATAGTATGGTTTCAAGTGCGATTTGGGAAAAACATGCACGAGTGAGTTTTTCAAAGGGGATCAAAATTGCACGAGTCCGAAGAACGAGTGCAATTTGAAGTCTTTGAAAAACTCACGAGTGTATGTTTTTCTAAATTTATTATACTTATTAATGATATACAATGAAAAAATTATGCAGTCACTCCTAGAAACTCCTAAATGTTTTTTTTTTTGTATTAGTTCTGCTGGAAATTGCTGTTATCTTATTGGCTATATCTTTGTTATTGTTCCATATTTTAAGCCAATTGTTTCATATATTTAAAGCCTAAATAGTCAATGAAATTTGCACTGTGTTGCTTTTTTTTTGCATTGTATTTCATTTTTTGGCACTGTATTTCATTTTTTGGCACTGTATTTCGAAAAAATTGCACTGCTTTTAGCCAATCGGAATTGAGAATTTTTTTCATGTATATTAGTATAGGTAATCATGCGATGGCGAGTACAATTAGGGATTAATAGTACGAGTGATGTTAGGAAATTTTGCCAAAATTGGACGAGCCGCCGGGGTGAGTCCAATTTGACAAATTTCCAAACATCACGAGTACTATTAATCCCTAATTGTACGAGCAACATCGCATGATTACTTGTTTATTATTAGCATGACAAAATTGGATACGTACTTCTCAATGTCAGCATTATATTCTCTCGCCAAAGCCCAGTCCTGCCAGACTTTCAACCAAAATTTGGTGCTTTTGTTTGTATTTTCATTTAGTTCTTTTGTTAAAGCAAAATTTGGTGCTTGTGTTCGTATTTTCATCTAGTTCCTCCACGGCAATTTCATTTCACGCTTGAGTTTAAAATACGTTTCCGCCATTTTGTTTGTTTTGGGAAAATCATTAATTGTACTGCAGTACAATTAATGAAATAATTGTACTCTTCTCAACCAATCAGCATCCGGCAGTAATTTTGTCATGCTAATAATAAGAAGACAAATTGAATTTTATGTGCGTTAACATGCAAAGGGTATGCAGATGTCAGAGTTTCCACCCGAGTTACCTGCAGGGTTCATATGAAATAGACCCTTACTGGGACTCTAACACACACACACACACACACACAACCCTAATGCCTATTTTCCACTTCGTTATTTCGCCGCCGCTGGCGAAAAATTTTGACAAAGAAATCATTTTTTTACATTCATTCGCCGCTGAAGAAATTTGTTCTCCTGCTACAGTTGCTTAAAATTTTCAATTTCTGTTTGACCTTTCGTTGACGGCGCGAAAGAATAACAAATGAACTTTTTCGGTGGCGAAATTTTTCGCCAGCGGCGGCGAAATACGTGAGTGGAAAACGGGCTTAAAGTCGTTTCTTGTCCACACAGCAAAACAAAGATAAACTGGCACGCTATATTAAAGATACTTATGATATTGACGTGAACTCCTCGTCCATGTTTGATTGTCAGTTTAAACGTATTCATGAATACAAACGACAACTCTTGAACGTCCTTTACGTCATCGTGCTCTACAACCGTAAGTGACCCAGTGAATTCAAATACATTAATATCATAGCTGCGTGTATAACGTTAGCAGTTTAAACTGATTGTATTATCATTTTTAATACCTTTGCAGGCATTAAAACTGATCCAAACGCAGATTTTGTTCCAAGGACTGTTCTAATAGGTGGAAAGGTCGGTTTTTTGTTTATTTGTAGATTCGAGGCTGCATGCGACTTGGACTCGAACAAAATGACTTGTGACTTGACTCGAACTTGCAAGAACTAACTTGTTACCAACACAAGTAAAACATACACTGTCAGGGTTTCCAATAGTATCTAGAGTAGGTTTATGTGGGTCCTTAAGTATCACTCACCAAGGGTGGACAAAATAGGCGAGCACGCAGAAAATGTTAAACAGCTGCAGGAAATTCGTTTGAAGGAAACCTTAACACTCATCATGGTTGTTATAAGACCTGGTTAGGAAACCCGGCAAACTTCAAAGAAATTACTGTATAAACAAACATGGAGGTTGAAGAGTCAGTTTGCCCTGCACATATTGGTTTTAATCAATGAGAATATAGACCAAACGATGTGACACAAACATTCTCCATCGAAAAATGATGGTAATACTTCGTTATTTGCACAATATGCCGTAAGATATAGCCCTGGTAGGCAAAACAAATACTTGGTACCCATTCCCTTCGCCAAGCTTTCTGAACTGACTATTGTCAAACAATAGAAAGACAAAGGATTTTTCAGCCGTGACCCTGTACAAGGTACACAATCACCTAAAACAAACGGTTTCCAAACCATTTCATATATATTAACTATGCACTCATGTCCCACTATGGGCGCAACAACATGTGGTTGACAGACATTATTCCTTGAATTCCAAAACCGTGGTCAGCTAGAACACTATATGTTTATGTTGGTCTGCAGGAATTTTTTTGTCTCCATGTTGTGCTCCCAGGAAGAAAATTCTTTTTTCCTGCCCTGTCACTTACCTGCATGGGTAGTTCATTGCATGTCCCTGCGAAGATTGTGAGATTTTGTTGTAGTATCCAAACATTTAAGGAAGAATGTCCATTAAAGTTAATGTTTTAAGAGTAGGAAGGCTTTCTCCGGAAAGCTTGTGACTTGACTTGCTACTCGGAGTAAATAGCTTGTGACTTGACTCGGACTTGTAAGAAATGACTTAGAATATAATTTATTTCAATAAGGTAACCCCTTCAGTGTAACAACACTGGTATCAATAGAGGCCCTGACTTGTCACTTGACTTGCATTTTTGTTGTACTGGGATATATTTTAAACCGGATATGTGGAATCGCATTGGTCTTGCTCATAAGTATACCATTTTCTGGTATGCTGTATATAATATTATCGTGCTAGTCTGAAATATCAACCTAATTTACAGGCTGCACCAGGATATACAACTGCAAAAGAAATAATCAAACTTATCAACTGTGTAGCGAAAGGTATTCGATGTGTTATACTTATAAACATTTTTGTTTTTCTTTGTTGCATTGTTAAATATAACCATTTTCCCAGAAAAGCGCCAATATGACCATGCATCCACTACTGTTTGCCTTGCACGGACATTATTGGCGGATTATTTTACTACATGAAGTTGGATAATTTCTTCTTCATTCTTGCAAAATCAAAACACAACCCACACTATGCAAAGAAAGGTAATACTTGCAGTATGAGTTTTAAATGCTGTGCTGAGTGGTTATATTACTACCTTAAAAAACAAGCAGAAACTCGACGTTTCGAGCGAAAGCCCTTCGTCAAGAGTTAGTGGAAGTTAGTTATTAACTGTTGACGAAGGGCCTTCGCTCGAAACGTCGAGTTTCCGCTTGTTTTTTAACGTAGTAATATAACCACTCGGCACAGCATTTTCACATTGGTACTACCTACACTGGTACAGACAGTTTTAGTATAGTATGAGTTTTAGAACGTTTTTAACACTAGGTAATGAGACTTGTGGCAGCCATCTTGCAGGTCTCACCTTTAGTTTTCACGGGTACATTTAAGCGAAAAGAGACGCCACTGTTGATAAATTTCTATTCAGACAATGTTTATCCCCTGGTTTATCCTTTCCTAGTAGACGTTTTTACAGTTTATGGCTATCGTTATGTCACTAACACCACATGCAGTAGATTTGTGGCGGTCACACAAGTATATGGCCTCCATTGCACCACCGGAAAACCATCCACCTCTGGTTTTCGGATCAGTGGTTTGTACGTATACCAGAGGTCTTGTTTTTGTTTTACCAGTTATTCTCCTACATTTCAGTCGTGAACAGTGATCCTATCGTTGGTGATCGTCTCAAAGTTGTGTTCGTGGAAAATTACATTGTTTCGTTGGCTGAAAGGAGTATCCTCTCACATAATTCATAACACTAATATGTTGCAAAAAATAATAATGAGAATTTTCAGAACTTTACCAATGAAAAATGAGTGAGAAAATGGGTAACATGTACATCTTAAGCCGTGTTTATACTACGAGCCTAAGCCTGGCCTTGGCCTACTTCTGGACTAGATTTGTGTAGTGTAAACGCACTTCGACCTGGCCTAGGCCAGGAAATCTGGGCCACCTGTTCTGATGGACCCAGATTTCCTGGCCTTGCCCAGGTCGAAGTGCGTTTACACTACACAAATCTAGTCCAAAGGTTGACCCACCTAAATACAGTCTCCACAGTTTAGAAGCCTGTTTGAATGCATGGAATCAATAGTCGACAGTCAGACTTGGATCATAAAATTCATTCACAAAAATACAAATTGTGATGGAAAATATTAAGTATAATTAACACTCTTTATCTTCTGTCCTTTTGGGCAACATTTGTCGTGACGAATGATCTAGAAATACGTCCTTTTTTAGCCATAAATTTCGACATGAATTGATTGAAACGCTCTGCCGAAAGTCGTGAGTTTTCTTCGGGCGCTCCGGTTTCCTCCCACAGGGAAAGTTGACAGGGTGGGTTAGGATAAACATAGTTATAAGGAAGTAATATCACAATTGTTGTAAATATAAAATAGTCTTATCTTGGCTTGGGATTTGGGAAGACACTGGTCATCGTTACATCCATGGACCATTAATGAACTTGATAGGCGAGCAAGTATGCAATTGTGACGTCAATGATGCAATATAAATGACTAAGGTCATTCATTACATTGTGGTTTCTTCCTTAACTTCATTTAGTCATCCCTGCTGCCGACCTTTCCCAACAGGTTTGTTCAATTGTATTTAATGTTTTAAAAAGAATATTTTGTAGTCAAATTGCGTAATATTACCGGGGGTACAATTTACGTAATTGTTAGTCAAAACGCGCTAGGTATGATGGGAAGACGGAAGTCCCCCCCCGCGTCGTGCACCACTAAATGTCCACTCTATCCCTATATTATCTGTACATGCAATTCTCTATACTATCCATATAATTGACTCTGCGGAGGAGAGTGAGTAAGGATAAAAGTCTGCTTCCAATTTCCAAAAGGCAGGAAAGAAATCTTGTTCAGTCGTCATTTTGATATCTTTTGTGTTCGAGTCTAGATTTCCCTGGCTGGTACTGAAGCATCGGGCACAGGAAACATGAAATTTATGGTGAGTTTATATACACAGTGAAATGCACATTTGGAATGATTACTCTCACTGAAGAAATTGAGTAAAAATTTAAAAATGGACGGAGATAATTTCTATTATATAATACCTTATTGAATTCTGATCGTTTAATTGGCTGTTTATGGTCACGTGATATTGAATAGAAAATTCCATTTCCCAAGAGTGCAATGGAATACGTTCCATTGCACTCTCTGCGAGTGCAATGGAATAAAACGTATAGTACAATTACACTCTTTGTGTTTTCGATAAATCGCATCCCTCAAAATGCTTCTCATACGAATCTATTAGTCTATTTTGGTATTATATAAAACAAATAATGAATGTTTTTTCGTGCAATGGTAAGAATATTTTCATTCGGTGAAAGATGGAATGTTCCATTCAACTTGGCTGTCGCCTCGTTGAATGGAACATTCCATCTTTCACCTCATGAAAATATTCTTACCATTGCACTCATAAACATTCATTATTTGTGAAGCCCTGGTCAAACGAGGACGAGAGTTGGCAGCCACGCATTGTTACAGGGAACATTTCAAACTCTAGATTAACAAAATAAAGGTTTCTTGTCATCAGGCCTTAAAATATCGGTCGGTCACGGACATTGTCCGACCGAGTCGTGAAATTGTCCGACGTAGAGAGGAAACTACCGGACATTATGTCCGACCTATAAGCGAAACTGAGGTTTATTGTTAGTCCGATACTACTTGTACTGGTGTCCGACCGAACTGTAGCTTTGTCCGACGTAAATCAAAATGTATCCTGGTCCAGGACTAGAGGCTCGTATGTTAAGGGGTAGCTTCACCCAAAAATTTAGTTGATTAGAATGAAAAAGTCAAAATTGCAAAAACACCATTATAGGGTACCTAAACATGTTGTTTATCAGTTGCTAAAGTTTTTTTTACATTAGAATAGGTTTTATATGAAAAATTGGCCGTTTTAGAAAAGGCCCTGAAAAATCTTTAATTGTTTATACCTAGTAACCATGGAAACGGATTGCAAAAATCGCTTTAAAAACGCTGTTGTACTTGCGTGAAAATGTGAAAATGTATTTTTAGGCTACTATACCAAGAGGGTGTACTATGGATAAAAGGGGCACTTAGGGGCATGCTAAATATTGCATAATCACAAATTTACATAATCAACTTTCAAGAGCACGAGAAAATCGAGAGAATATTCTATTGAAATTCGCATATTTTTT